GTGGAGTTCCAGGTCTCTGGCAGCCTCTGGAACTGCCGTTCTGCGGCCAACAAGGCAGAGTTCATCTCAGCCTATGCTACCCTCCAGTCCCTCGACTTCTTGGCGCTGCCGGAAACATGGATTACCACAGAAAACACTGCTACTCCTACTGCTCTTTCCTCGTCTGATCATGTGTTCTCGCATACCCTGAGAGCATCTGGTCAGCGCGGCGGTGGCACAGGAAACCTCATCTATCCCAAGTGGACATTCTCTCTTTTCCCCCTGACCCATTTGTCTATCTCCTCATTTGAATTCCATGCTGTCACAGTCATTAGCACATTCAAGCTTAACATCCTTATCATTTATCGCCCTCCAGGTTCCCTTGGAGAGTTCATCAATGAGCTTGACACCTTGATAAGTTCCTTTCCTGAGGATGGCTCACCCCTCACAGTTCTGGGTGACTTTAACCTCCCTACGTCTGCCTTTGACTCATTTCTCTCTGCCTCCTTCACTCCACTCCTTTCCTCTTTTGACCTCACCCTCTCACTGTCCCCCCCTACTCACAAGTCAGGCAATACGCTTGACTTGTGCTGTTCTTCTACTAATCTCACTGCAACTCCCCTCCAAGTCTCCGACCACTACTTTGTATCCTTTTCTCTCTCGCTCTCCTCCAACACTACTCACTCTGCCCCTACTCAGATGGTAATGCGCCGTCGCGACCTTCGCTCTCTCTCTCCCGCTACTCTCTCCTCTTCCATCCTATCATCTCTTCCCTCTGCTAAATCCTTCTCCCTCCGATCTCCTGATTCTGTCTCCTCAACCCTCCTCTCCTCCCTTTCTGCATCTTTTGACTCTCTATGTCCCCTATCCTCCCGGCCGGCTCAGTCCTCCCCTCCTGCTCCGTGGCTTGACGACTCATTGCGAGCTCACAGAACAGGGCTCCGGGCAGCCGAGCGGAAATTGAGGAAAACTAGACTCCCTGTGGACCTTTCATTTTTTCACTCCCTCCGCTCTACATTTTCTTCCTCTGTTTCTGCTGCTAAAGCCACTTTCTACCACTCTAAATTTCAAGCCTCTGCCTCTAACCCTAGGAAGCTCTTTGCCACCTTCATCACCCTGATGAATCCTCCTCCTCCTCCCCCTCCCTCCTCCCTCTCTGTGGATGACTTCGTCAACCATTTTGAAAAGAAGGTTGACGATATCCGATCCTCATTTATTAAGTCAAATGACACCGCTGGTCCTGCTCACACTGCCCTACCCTATGCTTTGACTTCTTTCTCCCCTCTCTCTCCAGATGAAATCTTGCGACTTGTGACGGCCGGCCGCCCAACAACCTGCCCGCTTGACCCTATCCCCTCCTCTCTTCTCCAGACCATTTTCGGAGACCTTCTCCCTTACCTCACCTCGCTCATCAACTCATCCTTGACCGCTGGCTATGTCCCTTCTGTCTTCAAGAGAGCGAGAGTTGCACCCCTCCTCAAAAAACCTACACTCGATCCCTCCGATGTCAACAACTACAGACCAGTATCCCTTCTTTCTTTTCTCTCCAAAACTCTTGAGCGTGCCGTCTCTAGTCAACTCTCCTGCTATCTCTCTCAGAAAGACCTTCTTGATCCAAACCAGTCAGGTTTCAAGACTGGTCATTCAACTGAGACTGCTCTTCTCTGTGTCACGGAGGCTCTCCGCACTGCAAAAGCTAACTCTCTCTCCTCTGCTCTTATCCTTCTAGACCTATCTGCTGCCTTTGATACTGTGAACCATAAGATTCTCCTCTCCACCCTCTCGGAGTTGGGCATCTCCGGCGCTGCTCACTCTTGGGATTGCGTCCTACCTCACAGGTCGCTCCTACCAGGTGGCGTGGCGAGAATCTGTCTCCGCACCACGTGCTCTCACCACTGGTGTCCCCCAGGGCTCAGTTCTAGGCCCTCTCCTATTCTCTCTATACACCAAGTCACTTGGCTCTGTCATATCCTCACATGGTCTCTCCTATCATTGCTACGCAGACGACACACAATTCATTTTCTCCTTTCCCCCTTCTGATAACCAGGTGGCGAATCGCATCTCTGCATGTCTGGCAGACATATCAGTGTGGATGTCGGATCACCACCTCGGCAAGACGGAGCTGCTCTTCCTCCCGGGGAAGGACTGCCCGCGCCATGATCTCGCCATCACGGTTGACAACTCCATTGTGTCCTCCTCCCAGAGTGCAAAGAACCTTGGCGTAACCCTGGACAATACCCTGTCGTTCTCCGCTAACATCAAAGCGGTGACCCGATCCTGCAGGTTCATGCTCTACAACATTCGCAGAGTACAACCCTACCTTACACAGAAAGCGGCACAGGTCCTAATCCAGGCACTTGTCATCTCCCGTCTGGATTACTGCAACTCGCTGTTGGCTGGGCTCCCTGCCTGTGCCATTAAACCCCTACAACTTATCCAGAACGCTGCAGCCCATTTGGTGTTCAACCTTCCCAAGTTCTCTCATGTCACCCCGCTCCTCCGCACACTCCACTGGCTTCCAGTTGAAGCTCGCATCTACTACAAAACCATGGTGCTTGCCTACGGAGCTGTGAGGGGAACGGCACCTCCTTACCTTCAGGCTCTGATCAGACCCTACACCCAAACGAGGGCACTACGTTCATCCACCTCTGGCCTGCTAGCCCCCCTACCTCTACGGAAGCACAGTACCCGCTCAGCCCAGTCAAAGCTATTCGCTGCTCTGGCACCCTAATGGTGGAACAAGCTCCCCCACGACAGCGGAGTCACTGACCACCTTCCGGAGACACTTGAAACCCTACCTCTTTAAGGAATACCTGGAATAGTATAACAGTAATCCTTTTACACCCCCCTCCCCCAGTGGTGGTTGTCCCACTGGCTATCCTAAGTTGAATGCACCAATTTGTAAGTCGCTCTGGATAAGAGCGTCTGCTAAATGACAAATCTAAATGTAAATATAGGAGAGAATACTAGATAGATAGGAGAGAATACTAAATAGATAGGAAAGAATACTAGATAGAGAGAATACTAGATAGATAGGATAGAATACTAGATAAAGGAGAAAATACTAGATAAAGAAAATAGAGAATACTAGATAGAGGAGAGAATACTTCATAGAAGAGAATACTAGATATATAGGAGAGAATCCTAGATAGATAAAATACTAGATAGATAGGAGAGAATACTATATAGATAGGAGAGAATACTAGATAGATAGAAGAGAATACTAGATTGATAGAAGAGAATACTAGATAGAAGAGAACACTAGATTGATAAAATACTAGATAGATAGGAGAGAATACTAGATAGATAGAGGAGATAATACTAGATAGAGAGAATCCTATATATATAGGAGAGAATACTAGATAGATAGGAGAGAATACTAAATAGATAGGAGAGAATACTAAATAGATAGGAGAGAATACTAGATATATATATATATATATATATATATATATATCAGAGAATACTTGATAGAAGAGAATACTAGATAGATAAAATACTAGATAGATAGGAGAGAATACTAAATACATAGGAGAGAATACTAGATAGATAGGAGAGAATACTAGATAGATGAGAATACTAGATAGATAAAATACTAGCTAGATAGGAGAGAATACTAGATAGAGAGAGGAGAGAATAGTAGATAGAGAGAATACTAGATAGATAGATAATAGATAGATAGATGATAGAACAAGAGAAAGAGAGGAGAGAATTCTATAGAGCTAGAGAGAGGAGAGAACATAACATTTAACATACCAATTAGGATCTGGCTAAAGATACTTGAGTCAGTTATAGAACCCATTACCATTTATGGCTGTGAGGTCTGGGGTCTGCTCACCATCCAATAATTAACAAAATGGGACAAACACCAAATTGAGATTCTACATTCAGAATTGTGCAAAAATATCCTCAGTGTACAACGCAAAACACCAAATAATGCATGCAGAGCAGAATTAGGCCGATACCCGCTAATTATCAAAATCCAGAAAAGAGCCGTTAAATTCTACAACCACCTAAATGGAAGCGATTCCCAAACCTTTCATAACAAAGCCATCACCTACAGAGAGATTAACCTGGAGAAGAGTCCCCTAAGCAAGCTGGTCCTGGGGCTCTGTTCACAAACAGAGCACAAGGACAACAACACAATTAGACCCAACCAAATCATGAGAAATCAAAAAGATAATTACTTGACACATTGGGAAGAATTAACAAAAAAACTGAGCAAACTAGAATGCTATTTGGCTCTAAACAGAGACTACACAGTAGCAGAATACCTGACCACTGTGACTGACCCAAACTTAAGGAAAGCTTTGACTATGTACAGACTCAGTGAACATAGCCTTGCCGTAGGCAGACCTGGCTCTCAAGAGAAGACAGGCTATGTGCACACTGCCCACAAAATGAGGTGGAAACTGAGCTGCACTTCCTAACCTCCTGTCAAATGTATGACCATATTAGAGAGACATATTTCCCTCAGATTACACAGACCCACAAAGAATTAAAAAACAAATCAAATTTTGATAAACTCCCATATCTATTGGGTGAAATACCACAGCGTGCCATCACAGCAGCAATATTTGTGACCTTTTGCAACAAGAAAAGGGCAACCAGTGAAAAACAAACACCATTGTAAATACAACCCATCTTTATGTTTATTTATTTTCCCTTTTGTACTTTAACTATTTGCACATCATTACAACACTGTATACAGCCTTAATATGATATTTTATTATTTTTTTAGTGTAATGTTTACATTTTATTAGACTTTTGTTTATTATCTATTTCACTTGCTTTGGCAATGTAAACGTATGTTTCCCATGCCAATAAAGCCCTTTGAATTGAACTGAGACAGGAGAGAAAAATATAGGATGGATGGATGGATGGATAGATGGATAAAAAGAGAAAAAGAGAGAGAGAATACTAGATCGATAGAGGAGAGACTGGAGAGAAGAGACTGGAGAGCAGCATACCTGAACACAACAGAATTGCGTTTAAGTCAAGTGAAAAGCAAGTGTCCTGACCTCTTTAGCCACGGTGTGCCAGTGCAGGTGGCTCTCACACATGTCCATTCTCTCCTGGTGCAGGAACTTGCACTTATCAGGAACCAGCAGGGCATCACTCACAAACTCCCCAACTGCAAAACACACAGATTAATGAGTCTCACACACACAAGCACGCATGCTGTGTTAGTGCCACTGACAGAATATGTAAGGAAAATGTGCAATATGTATCATGTATGTGGCTATACGAGAAGTGTACAATGTGTATGACAGAGGTAACGTGCAATGTATGTATTATGTTGAGTGTGACTATTTTGTATACAGCGGTACTGTGTGTCTAAGCCAATTTTCCCCTCAAGGACATTAAACGTTGTCCTATCCTATCCACACACAGAGCTTACCCAGGCAGCGGTAGGGCACCACGATGTGTGTGTGACTACTACACTCCTTGCGTCCCTTCTTGCACCAGTTCTGAATGCTGACTGGCTGGTTGGCCTCCACCACGTTAGTGATCTGGAGCTCAGGGTACACCTGGGGGAAGGAGCAGAATTCAATGAATGTACTTCACACAGTTGTTTTCTATGGGTTTCATATTGCAGACATTTACCTCAGACCTCCCCCTTTCCTATCACTTCCCTTGTTCCTTTTTCTCTCCCTAATCTCATTCTGTTTCCACCCCTCTATCTTCCCACTCAACCACCCTCTTCCACACTCCTTTCCCCCCTATCTCCTACCACTCATTATTTTCTCCCTCCCACCACCTATCCCTCCCACCTCTCCCTCTCTTCTCACTTCCCCCTCCCTCCCCCACCTACACCTCCCTCCTACCTCTCCTTCCACTCTCCCTCCCACCTCTCCATCCCACCTACCTCTCTCCCTCCCTCACTCTCCCTCCCTCTCCTCCACCTCTCCCTCCCTCTACTCCCACCCTCCCTCACTCACCTGATGCCTCTTCCACCTATCCCTTCCTCTCATCCCCCCTCTCCTCCTACCTCCTGGCAGTACTGCAGGATGCCCTCCTTGGTTCCGATGCAGCTCTTGGTGCCGAAGGGATCCGACTCCCACTTGCCACTCTGGACGTTGACATGCATGTTGAATTTCCCACAGAACATGGCTACCTGGGGCTCTGCCAGCAGACCCACCGAGTCATCAGAAGGCACCTGGAGTAAAGGAGGAGAGAGAGAAAGGAAGGAGGGGGAAAGAAGGATGGTAGATGAAGGATGCAGGTAGCGAGGGAGTATAGAGGGGGGCAGAGGGAGGAAGGAGGGAGTCACATTTTTTAAAACTTTATTTGCAGTTGAAGTGCACTCAAAGTCTAAACCAGGCCAAACTAGCGTTTCTTCTCCATGATGAGTCTGGATTTGCTTTCCTCCCTGATGTTTTCTAGAATGGGAACACATTCGGATTGGTCCCAGAAACCGACAGTTGGCCTACATGACGATGATATCAACTCTGATATTCTGATCGGTTAGAAACGATCCAATCGCTGAATAATTTGTTTTGCACAATGCCCCTCATTTTAAAGTCAGCACAAATGACTTCTAGGATGGTAGTTTTAGACAATTTATGGAGCGATCAATAGAGCAGCGGAATTAAATTCAGGATGAGTCGTCAGGCCAAATGCTCTCTCTCTCTCTCACACACACGTCTACTCCTCTCCCAACAAGCCATAAGGATTAGTGTGCTTCGCGGGTCGCCTCCTCTGTGAAGCACTGTGTAATGCCACTGCCCATTTCAGTTATGATTAAAAAAGCATAAACACTGCTCTGAGCCGGAGCATTCTACTGAATCACTGACAGGCAAGGCACTCAGAACTGGGCCAACAGTGTGTGTGTCCAAGTGCATGTATGCGCTCATGTTTGTGTCCTGAGTGAATGAGGAGTGTTGATCATATAAGAAGGGGGGAGCTCAGCAACATTAGGTGAGAGAGAGAGAGAGAGTGTAATAGAGATAGAATGTGTGCGAGAGAGTACGTCAGACGGAGATAGTTCTAGAAAGTGTGTGTCAGAGATGGAGGTGGAAACAGAGTGAGAGCTATAAAGATAGACCCAATTTACAGGATGTGATGGATTGAGTTCTCATTCCTTCCAGTTCCCTACTGTTTCTTTGACTCGGCTTTGGCCCCGGCGGCCACAAAATACACATCTTTCCAACGAAGTTAAACGCAAAGCATTCTGGGATCATTGTTATTCCCACTCTTTTTGTTCCATGATACAAACGGAGGAAGTTTCATTGTAGCTGGCCGTCTGGCTCTGCTTTTTGTCTCGCGCACGTGGGAAAAGATGGATGCCGCAAACTAATAAAACAGAAGTTTCTGCCATTCTGCTGGTAAATGGCCTGTGAAAAGAAAAACACAACCATCCATTCCCTAGATTGATGATACTCATTAAAAAACAAGGCCCTAGTTATTTCTGCAGCATGTAGTGTAGCAGTTTATGATAAATAAGCACACAAACTTGGGCGTATCTGCTAAATCCTTTCTCCCAATATTCATGGTTACCATTTTGTATGCAATACATGTGTTAGACGGACACATACAGTGCCTTCGGAAAGTATTCAGACCCCTTGACTTTTTCCACATTTTGTTAGGTTACAGCCTTTTTCTAAAATTGATTAAATGGTTTTTTTCCCCCTCATCAAATCTACACACAATACCCCATAATGACAAAGCAAAAACAGGTTTTTAGAAATATTTGCTAAATTATACAAAATAAAACACTGAAATATTTCCATAAGTATTCAGACCCTTTACTCAGTCCTTTGTTGAAGCACCTTTGGCAGCGATTAGAGCCTCGGGTCTTCTTGGGTATGACGCTATAAGCTTGGCACCCCTGTATTTGGGGATTCTCCCATTCTTCTCTGCAAATCCTCTTAAGCTCTGTCAAGTTGGATGGGGAGCGTTGCTGCACAGCTATTTTCTTGTCTCTCCAGAGATGTTCGATCAGGTTCAAGTCCAGGCTCTGGCTGGGCCACTCAAGGACATTCAGACTTGTCCCGAAGCCACTCCTGCGTTTTCTTGGCTGTGTGCTTAGGGTCGTTGTCCTGTTTGAAGGTGAACCTTCACCCCAGTCTGAGGTCCTGAGCGCTCTGGAGCAGGTTTTCATCAAGGATCTCTCTGTACTTTGCTACGTTCATCTTTGGTTACCTTCCTGACCAAGGCCCTTCTCCCCCGATTGCTCAGTTTGGCCGGGCGGCCAGTTCTAGGAAGAGTCTTGATGGTTCCAAACGTCTTCCATTTAAGAATGATGGGAGGCCACTGTGTTCTTGGGGACCTTCAATGCTGCAGAAATGTTTTGGTACCCTTCCCCAGATCTGTGCCTCGACACAATCCAGTCTCGGAGCTCTACGGACAATTCCTTCGACCTCATGGCTTGGTTTTTGCTCTGACATGCAATGTCAACTGTGGGACCTTATATAGACAGGTGTGTGCCTTTCCAAATCATGTCCAATAAATTGAATTTACCACATGTGGACTCCAATCAAGTTGTAGAAACATCTCAAGGATGATCAATGGAAACAGGATGCAACTGAGCTCAATTTCGAGTCTCATAGCAAAGGGTCTGAATACTTATGTAAATAAGGTATTTCTGTTGTGTTTTTTTATAAATACATTTGCAAAAATTTCTAAAAACCTGTTTTTGCTTTATCATTATGGGGTATTGTGCACATTTAAAAAATCTATTTTAGAATAAGGCTGTAACGTAACAAAATGTGAAAAAAGTCAAGGGGTCTGAACACTTTCCGAAGGCACTGTATGTTACCCTTTAATTTCATTTAGCAGCAGTGAACAAACAATAATTTTTCAGTAGATGCTGTTAATGTGTATGACCCAACACCCTGTGGAATTCATGGAGTCTGGTTTGCGCTCACAAGGTGCTCCTTTTGTTTTAGCCTACCTTAGGGCTGACCTTATTTAGTCGACTGGTCGACTGTTTGGTCAATAGGCTGTTGGTTGACCGAGATTTTTTTTAGTAGAGTAGTGGCAAATGTATACATTAAAAAAATGTAACACAAGACACCTGTCTTTCACACCTGTCTGAGTGGACTAATCCTTTGCGGAGGCACACCATTACCACCAGTACTACATTTACCGTTAATTACCATCATTCCTATTGTTTGTTTGGTTATGGTAATTTTTGTTAATGCATTATTATTATTATTATTATTATTATTATTACAGTCTTACCGTTGTCATTGTAGGAGTGGACATGTTGTTTGCAGAGCGTACAACCTAGGCTACACTTGAGGGAAAAGTTTTGGTTTATTTCATTCCATTTACAAGTTGTCAATTTATTGTATTTTGTTTGGAGGCTCCTGTCAATCTTGAGTAAGGACACACACTTGATTACGCATAGGCCTAGGCTACCTTGCCTGCACGCAAATGTAGGCTTATAAATGTGCCTATTTGGATGTCTTAACTCACCATCACTGTGGAGCTTCTCAAAATAAATGTTATCGCCTCAAAAAGCAAGTAAAATAAGTCTGTTGAGAATGACAATAGTTCCTCAACGTAGCCCATTTGAAAAATATTTCCAGCTCTCTCCCTTTCGATAACCACTCAGCATGAAAGGAGAAAACATTTCTTGCTCTGATCAGGTGGAAATGTCATAAAAAAGGCCTACCTGATTACTTATTTTCCTTTGCACAAATAGCCTACAGCTGTATCTGTCTGTCCGGAGCTCACAGGCCCAGGGAACTCGAGGGCCCAAAATATTTTATACAATGTTGCAAGTTGGCTAGCACCAGCTTCAGGCTGGACCCAAGTTAATCGTTTTTATTTGTTGGCTTTATGTAGGCTATTTTTACATATTGGCAATGGCAATAGAAGTTACTTTTAGATTTGCATTTGGATAGAATTTTGATTAATCATATGACATTAATTTAGAGACTTTGAAGACTTTTTTAAAAATGAAATGAAACTGTTCCAAGAAAATGTGCATATGAAAATCATAACTGGCACGCAGATCAGTAGAAATGGTACGATAACTTGGCACTCCAAATGGAAAAGGTTGTCGACCGCTGGTGTAGCCTATTACCGGCAACTTCAGGAGCGTAATGGCAGAATCTGTGGAGGCCGGCAGCAGCGGGCAGCGGGAGGAGGGGGGGGGGGGGGGGGGGGGGGGGGGGGTCGGGAACAGGTTTTTTTCTTCTGGTTCGGCTATATTGATCTCTGGCTCCCTCTTTAGTAGTTTTGTGTGTCTTAATTTGTAATTTCAGTGCTTAAAGCATCAGGCAAAGTAGCCTACATATAGTTGATTTTATTCAAACATAGGGTGAATAAATACACATTTGAAAATTTCGACCAATCGATTGGTGGAAAGAACAAACGACTCGATCTACCAATATTTATTTTGGTCGGGGACAGCCCTTGCCTACCTGCAGGTAAGCTCTTTGACACTGCTGGTTAATTAAGTCTTTGTCTAGAGTGTATGTGTGTGTGTGTGTTTTTAATTGTAAGGGGCCCTCAAGGAACATAGCTGACATGAGGAACAAACATGAACTATAGTTATCATCTATTAAGGAGCCTGAATAGATGTTGATATTGTGAGGTGGTAGTGGGACGCCAGAAACAAGAGATGCAATGTGGAGAGGACTGCAGCATTCCCAAGATGGTGTCAACAGCAACGATGTTGGTATGGCAACGGAAAGATCGCAGCATCAGCAGAGTTGCAGGTGGTGGAGCCTTCTAGAATCTTAATTCACCTCCTGTCATCAAGAGTAAAGACGCTCACCATCTAGATTCACTAGGCCTGAGTCAGCACACTGAACTAGGTTAAGGTGCTGGTTGATGCAGGAGTTCCCATTAATAGAAAAATCCACAAAAAATATATTTAGGCATTTCTTTCTTTAGTCCAATGTTGATACAGTCCCAAAAGTTCTCAAGATATTGGACTTTCAAGAAGCAAAGTGTAATTTGCCACATCCTCATGATGATGCGTTTTTGCATCAAATTATCTATTAGTGACACTACTTTTTCAGTGGATTTTTCCTTTAAGCACAGATCTAGGATCAGATACCCTCCCTGAATCCACCATTTGTCAGTCAGGGCTGTCCTGGTTCCCCAGGCTAGCGCATCTAGTAGCACACTAGGTCAGACATTGAAGGATAAGATGAGAATGGGACAAAGACAGTACATGCAACTGCACCACTGACCATGATCAGCCACAGACCAGCCTGGTTTTGGTCACTCAGCATCATACAGTATGTGACAGGCAAGCAGTAAAACAATCCCAAGAAAAGTCCTTGTTATTGAGGGGGTCAGTTGCAACAGGAGTAACAACAGAAATCACATTCCACAACGTTAGGACCTTGGGAGTGCATGCTTAGGAAAAAGGAAGCTTGTGTTTATGTAGCTTGCCTTGTTCCAACGCTGCCTGGATTTGATACCTGCCACTGGCTGACTAGCACTCTGCACTCTGGTCCCAACCATAGCCTACCATGAGACTAGAGCAAGAAGCAAGCTAGGTGACAGACCGTTGACTTCAGGTCCCACCGTCTCCGGGAAGAGCAGAGAGTAAGAACCACCTCCCTGAGGGGAGATTACGTGGCAGGTGGCAGCGTAGTAGGCACAATTCGTCCCATGAATGTATCTTAAAATAGAAGAAATTGGGCTATAGCTAATAACACTCTGGATAACATAGAAAATGTTGAACTTTTTATAGATCATCATTTTGATATGCTTGAAAAGCAGTCAAATAAATCAAAGCGAACAAGAGGGATTATTTCGTCCAGCGAAACAGAGGAGGAGAAATATCCTTCCAAACAATCAAACAAAACAATGGAAGAGGATGCAGGTACAACAATGTCCAAAAAGGACAGTGCATTGCTGGCAACCATGTACATACAGCCTCAAAAGCTTGATCTATTGCCCGGACTAATGGAGGACATTGAGGCCCTCAAGGTAGGAATGGATTACAGCAACAAATTAATGGAGGAAATAAGGGCTGAAAGCGACAGCAGACTCCCTAAAATCAACGACGGAGAAACCCCTGAGTGATAACACTAAAATGAAAGCGGAGCTACTTGACCTAAAATGCAGAAGCATGATAAATAATATTGTCATAACGGGAGTGAAGGAGAATGGAAATGAAGACTCTGGCAATCGAAGAAAAGGTGAAGGATTTTATTAAACAATCTTAAAATGACCAACGAACAGGTGGATAAGATTTATTTCCAAAGGGCGCATCGTTTTGGCTAAAGGGTTCCCTAGAAACCCCGACCCATTGTTGCTAGACTCTCACATTACAAGATGAAGGTGGCCGTGTTGGAAAGGGGTAGGGAGCTGAAGGGCACACCATTCTCTATCAACAAACAACTCCCCCATTAAATAATAGAGACGACGCATCCTTCATCCCATTTTCAAAAAACATAGAGCAGAGAACCAGAATGTGCGTTTAGTATTGGATAAGCTGTACATAAACAACCAGCTCTTCAGGGACTCAAAGGTTACAACGTGGCTGTGAGTAATTCTGGCTAGTTCCTAATACACAGCATTACACATTTTCACTATTTGTATTTTATTCTCATCAACGGTTGTCTTTTGGCTCCATCAGGCTACTAGGCCACGAACAATCCGTAAAGGGCAAGGTGCCCTTACAGTAGGGCTGTCCCCGGCAAAAAAAAAATATTGATCGACCGATCGAAAAATAACATGTATTTTTCCATATATAAAATCAACTATACTGAACAAAAATATAAACGCAACATGCAACAGTTTCAAAGATTTTACTGAGTTACAGTTCATAGAAGGAAATCAGTCAATTTAAATAAATTCATTAGGCCCTAATCTATGGATTTCACATGACTGGCAGGGGCGCAGCCATGGGTGGGCATAGGTCCACCCACTTGGGAGCCAGCCCCCCCCCCCCCCCCCCACCCCACCCCCCCTCCCAGACGATCCCGCAGGTGAAGAAGTCGGATGTGGAAGTCCTGGGCTGGCGTGGTTACACATGGTCTGCGGTTGTGAGGCCGGTGGGACTTACTGCCAAATTCTAAAATAAATCAGAACTTTTTTCTCACAAGTGTAGCCTAGGTTGTACGCTCCTACAATGACAACGGTAAGACTGTAATAATAATATATTGAATGCATTAACAGAAATTACCGTAACCAAACAAACGTAGATTAGAAATTATCGGAATTAACGGTAAATGTACTACTGGTGATACTGCTATGCCATATCCGTGGCCTCCGCAATGGATTAGTCCATAAAGATGTCTCGTACACCATCATTTTCCCAAGGTGCGGGATATATATATATTTTTATTTTTTTCATTTTTTAGCAGACACTCTTATCCAGAGCGACTTACAGTTAGTGAGTGCATACATTCTTCATACTGGCCCCCCGTGGGAATCGAACCCACAACCCTGGCATTGCAAGCGCCATGCTCTACCAACTGAGCTACACGGGCCCATTTATTTGCTTTGTCTACGCTATAGCTTTCTCTCTCCACACCTTTTCCACGTTTTGTAAAACAGCATTGGAACAGCAACCCTGGTGCAAAAGGGGGATGTCCTGGAATCATATTTTATATACCTCTAAAGTTAAAATATACATATAGAACAATCACGATGATTACCATACCATCTGCATACTGGGATTTATTATTATTTTCCCCTATTTGTCCTTTAGTGTCAAGGGCCATTATAAATTAGGATGATGTATTATTTTCAAGGGTGTTGGGATGTATAAATCAGATTCCATCATCAGTTATTGCAGGTTCCTAAAATGATATTTGCACTGCTAGAATATAAACAAGGATGACATGTACATATATATATTTTTTTTTTCCGAATGCCTTTCCTCTGTTGTGATTGTAGGAATGCGAATAAGTGAGCCTATAATTTTTGCAGAATTTTTATTTGGCAAACGTTTCTAATGAACTGATATGGCTTTCCTTTGTTTTATTCAACAACTGCCAACTTGCAAAGTTAGCCGATAATGAGCCGCTGTATATGGATATTTGCGAATTTTTTATGATGACAGTGATAAGGATGATATAATTATTTATTATTAGTATTATGTTCTACGTTTTGTTGTTGTCTGGGTATTTGTTTATTTTTTAGGTCAAATTGTCCTCAGTACTACATAATTTATCTATTTTCTTTCACTCTGATTTTTATTATTTATTTGTTATGTGGCTAATTTCTAAAGAGGACGCTACTCTCATGGTCATGTCATAGGCTTTATGGCTGGGCGCTTGAGGGGTGGCAGCATTGAAACAGGTTGATGGGACAGTCCCGACTTCTTACCTGGACCACACCAATCAGAGGTTGAAGGTGTGTTTTAGGACCCTAAAGGCGCGTTACGGGTACAGGGATATGATAGTATCAGGGACAACAGCCCCTTCTGGGATGGGGGAGGCTTTCGCGGGAGGGATATTGGAAGACAAATTAGAAGTTTACTTAGAGTTAGTTGCAGCTGCAGTATATTTAGCAGTGCGTATATTATGGTAGCGCTGCATGGATAGATGTCAGACATTGATTCTGGTAGTATTAGTAAGTATGGATACTACTTTCTGGTAGTATGTTTACAGGCATATAAACTCAGCAAAAAAAAGAAAGGTCCCTTTTTCAGTACCCTGTCTTTCGAAGATAATTCGTACAAATCCAAATAACTTCACAGATCTTCATTGTAAAGGGTTTAAACACTGTTTCCCATGCTTGTTCAATGAACCATAAACTATTAATGAACATGCACCTGTGGAATGGTCATTAGGAAACTAACAGCTTACAGACGGTAGGCAATTAAGGTCACAGTTATGAAAACTTAGGACACTAGAGAGGCCTTTCTACTGACTCTGAAAAACACCAAAAGAAAGATGCCCAGGGTCCCTGCTCAGCTGCGTGAACGTGTCTTAGGCATGCTGCAAGGAGGCATGAGGACTGCATATGTGGCCAGGGCAATAAATTGCAATGTCCGTACTGTGAGACGCCTAAGACAGAGCTACAGGGAGACAGGACGGACAGCTGATCGTCCTCGCAGTGGCAGACCACATGTAACAACACCTTCACAGGATCGGTACATCCGAACATCACACCTGCGAGACAGGTACAGGATGGCAACAACAACTGCCCGAGTTACACCAGTAATGCACAATCCCTCCATCAGAGCTCAGACTGTCCGCAATAGGCTGAGAGAGGCTGAACTGACGGCTTGTAGGCCTGTTGTAAGGCAGGTCCTCACCAGACATCACCGGCAACAACGTCGCCTATGGGCACAAACCCACCGTCGCTGGACCAGACAGGACTGGAAAAAAGTGCTCTTCACTGACGAGTCGCGGTTTTGTCTCACCAGGGGTGATGGTCGGATTCGCATTTATCGTTGAAGAAATGAGCGTTACACCGAGGCCTGTACTCTGGAGCAGGATCGATTTGGAGGTGGAGGGTCCGTCATGGTCTGGGGCTGTGTGTCACAGCATCATCAGACTGAGCTTGTTGTCATTGCAGGCAATCTCAACGCTGTGCGTTACAGGGAAGACATCCTCCTCCCTCATGTGGTACCCTTCCTGCAAGCTCATCCTGACATGACCCTCCAGCATGACAATGCCACCAGCCATACTGCTCGTTCTGTGCATGATTTCCTGCAAGACAGGAATGTCAGTGTTCTGTCATGGCCAGCGAAGAGCCCGGATCTCAATCACATTGAGCACGTCTGGGACCTGTTGGATCGGAGGGTGAGGGCTAGGGCCATTCCCCCCAGAAATATCAGGGAACTTGCAGGTGCCTTGGTGGAAGAGTGGGGTAACATCTCACAGCAAGAACTGGCAAATCTGGTGCAGTCCATGAGGAAGAGATGCACTGCAGTACTTAATGCAGCTGGTGGCCACACCAGATACTGACTGTTACTTTTGATTTTGACCCCCCTTTGTTCAGGGACACATTATTCCATCTGTTAGTCACGTCTGTGGAACTTGTTCAGTTTATGTCTCAGTTGTTGAATCTTATGTTCATACAACTATTTACACATGTTAAGTTTGCTGAAAATAAACGCAGTTGACAGTGAGAGGACGTTTCTTTTTTGCTGAGTTTATTATGGTAAGTATAATTGAAACTTGTATCTCATTATGGTAAGTGTTGAAATAAGTACAGTGGGGAGAACAAGTATTTGATACACTGCCGATTTTGCAGGTTTTCCTACTTACAAAGCATGTAGAGATCTGTAATGTTTATCATAGGTACACTTCAACTGTGAGAGACGGAATCTAAAACAAAAATCCAGAAAATTACATTGTATGATTTTTAAGTAATTAATTTGCATTTTATTGCATGACATAAGTATTTGATCACCTACCAACCAGTAAGAATTCCGGCTCTCACAGACCTGTTAGTTTTTCTTTAAGAAGCCCTCCTGTTCTCCACTCATTACCTGTATTAACTGCACCTGTTTGAAATTGTTACCTGTATAAAAAGACACCTGTCCACACACTCAATCAAACAGACTCCAACCTCTCCACAATGGCCAAGACCAGAGAGCTGTGTAAGGACATCAGGGATAAAATTGTAGCCCTGCACAAGGCTGGGATGGGCTACAGGACAATAGGCAAGCAGCTTGGTGAAAAGGCAACAACTGTTAGCGCAATTATTAGAAAATGGAAGAAGTTCAAGATGACGGTCAATCACCCTCGGTCTGGGGCTCCATGCAAGATCTCACCTGGGGCATCAATAATCATGAGGAAGGTGAGGGATCAGCCCAGAACTACACGACGGGACCTGGTCAATGACCTGAAGAGAGCTGGGACCACAGTCTCAAAGAAAACCATTAGTAAAACACTACGCCGTCATGGATTAAAATCCTGCAGCTCACGCAAGGTCCCCCTGCTCAAGCCAGCGCATGTCCAGGCCCGTCTGAAGTTTGCCAATGACCATCTGGATGATCCAGAGGAGGAATGGGAGAAGGTCATGTGGTCTGATGAGACAAAAATAGAGCTTTTTGGTCTAAACTCCACTCGCCGTGTTTGGAGGAAGAAGAAGGATGAGTACAACCCCAAGAACACCATCCCAACCGTGAAGCATGGAGGTGGAAACATCATTCTTTGGGGATGCTTTTTTGCAAAGGGGACAGGACGACTGCACCGTATTGAGGGGAGGATGGATGGGGCCATGTATCGCGAGATCTTGGCCAACAACCTCCTTCCCTCAGTAAGAGCATTGAAGATGGGTCGTGGCTGGGTCTTCCAGCATGACAATGACCTGAAACACACAGCCAGGGCAACTAAGGAGTGGCTCCGTAAGAAGCATCTCAAGGTCCTGGAGTGGCCTAGCCAGTCTCCAGACCTGAACCCAATAGAAAATCTTTGGAGGGAGCTGAAAGTCTGTATTGCCCAGCGACAGCCCTAATACCTGAAGGATCTGGAGAAGGTCTGTATGGAGGAGTGGGCCAAAATCCCTGCTGCAGTGTGTGCAAACCTGGTCAAGACCTACAGGAAACGTATGATCTCCGTAATTGCAAACAAAGGTTTCTGTACCAAATATTAAGTTCTGCTTTTCTGATGTATCAAATACTTATGTCATGCAATAAAATGCAAATTAATTACTTAAAAATAATACAATGTGATTTTCTGGATTTTTGTTTTAGATTCCGTCTCTCACAGTTGAAGTGTACCTATGATAAAAATTACAGACCTCTACATGCTTTGTAAGTAGGAAAACCTGCAAAATCGGCAGTGTATCAAATACTTGTTCTCCCCACTGTACATGGAGAATGCTTCATCAAGCTAGTCGTCTATCTTTCGCGCTGGCATCAAAGGAAAAAAAGTTTTGATGGGGGCAGAATGCAGTCAGACCATCAAATAATTGGCATCCACATTACTCTTACAGAATTTCCACATGGGCGAGGATATTGGAAATGTAATCAAAGCCTAATGGATGACAACCTGTTTTTAACCAAGACAAAATGTTTTAACAAACTCTTTCCTACATAACATACAGCGCATTAGGAAAGTATTCAGACCCCTTGACTTTTTCCACATTGTTACGTTACAGCCTCATTCTAAAATGGATTAAAAATATATATAATCCCTCAATCTACACACAATACCCGATAATGACAAAGCAAAAACAGGTTTTTAGAAATTTTTGCAAATGTATCAAAATATAAAACTGAAACATCACATTTACATAAGTATTCAGACCCTTTACTCAATACTTTGTTGAAGCACCTTTGGCAGCGATTACAGCCTCGAGACTTCTTGGGTATGACACTACAAGCTTGGCACACCTGTATTTGGAGAATTTCTCCCATTCTTCTCCGCAGATCCTCTCAAACTCTGTCAGGTTGGATGGGGAGCGTCGCTGCACAGCTATTTTAAGGTTTATCCAGAGATGTTCGATCGGGTTCAAGTCCAGGCTCTGGCTGGGCCACTCAAGGAGATTCAGAGACTTGTCCCGAAGCCACTCCTGCGTTGTCTTGGCCGTGTGCTTAGGGTCGTTGTCCTGTTGGAAGGTGAACCTTCGCCCCAGTTTGAGGTCCTGAGCAGGTTTTCATCAAGGATCTCTGTACTTTGCTCTGTTCATCTTTCCCTCGATCATGACTAGTCTCCCACAGCATGATGCTGCCACCACCATGTTTTACCGTAGGAATGGTGCCAGGTTTCCTCCAGACGTGACGCCTGGCATTCAGGCCAAAGAGTTCAATCTTAGTTTCATCAGACCAGAGAATCTTGTTTCTCATGGTCTTTTAGGTGACTTTTGGCAAACTCCAAGCGGGCTGTCATGTGCCTTTTACTGAGGAGTGGATTCCGTCTGGCCACTCTACCATAAAGGCCTGATTGGTGGCGTGCTGCAGAGATGGTTGTCCTTCTGGAAGGTTCTCCCATCTCCACAGAGGAACTCTGGAGCTCTGTCAATTTTTTGGTACCCTTCCCCAGATCTGTGCCTCGACACAATCCTGTCTCGGAGCTCTACGGACAATTCCTTCGACCTCATGGCTTGGTTTTTGCTCTGACGTACACTCTCAACTGTAGACCTTATATAGACAGGTGTGTGCCTTTCCAAATCATGTCCAATCAATTGAATTTACCACAGGTGGACTCCTATCAAGTTTTAGAAACATCTCAATGATGATCAATGGAAACAAGTTGCACCTGAGCTCAATTTCGAGTCTTATAGCAAAGGGTTTGAATACTTATGTAAATAAGGTATTTCTAAAAACCTGTTTTCGCTTTGTCATTATGGGGTATTGTGTGTAGATTTATGATTTTTTAAATAATAATCCATTTTAGAATAAGGCTGTAACATAACAAAATGTGGAAAAACGGAAGGGGTCTCAATACTTGTACTGTAGGTACAGCAGATCCCCTTATTGTATGGGACACTTTTAAATGTGCCTTTAGAGGTCATGCAATTCAATATTCATCTTTAAAACAAAAAATATTTCTGTCAAAATAGTTCATATTAACATAGCAATAAAAACTACCATAGATGTACAGAATAAGTTAGAGGAAAAGCAAAAAGAAATGGAGGAACTTATTTGGGAACGATCAAGTATAATGTATTATAAAAAATGATTCACCAAATTAAGTAAGTATAAAGATCCAGTCTAAAAAAAGTGATGCAAAAATCCCAGCACAATGCATAGCACATAGAATTAAAAAGGTGTTGTTAGATATTATTCATTCTGATCAGACAGGTTTCTTTTACATGGAAGATACATTGGAGATAATTTAAGACAAGTACTTAAAACAATAGTACACTATGATACATCTCGTAAACCAGGTCTGCTATTCATAGCAGATTTTGAAAAGGCTTTTGATAAAGTATGACTAGAATGTATATATAAATGCCTGGTCTATTTTAATTTTGGAAGATCTCTTATACAATGGTTTAAAGTTATGTATAGTATCCCTAGGTGTAAAATAGTAAATAATGGCTACTTCTCAGAAAGTATTAAACTGTCAAGAGGAGTAAAACAAGGTTGTCCACTGTCAGCATATCTATTTATTATGGCCATAAAAATAAAATCAGATCCAACAATAATATAGAGGGGCTAGAAATCCAGGGCTTAAAAACAAAGGCCTCCTGTAGCTCAGTTGGTAGAGCATGGCGCTTGCAACGCCAGGGTTGTGGGTTTGTTTCCCACGGGGGGCCAGTATGAAAAATGTATGCACTCACTAAAACTGTAAGTCGCTCTGGATAAGAGCGTCTGCTAAATGACTAAAATATAAAATGTAAAATTGTACGCTGACGACTCAAATTTCCTCTTAAATCCGCAATCTGGATCCCTGCACAGCTTAAGAGGATCTAGGTACATTTTCTAACCTCTTTGGATTACAACCGAACTATGATAAGTGTACCATATTACGTATTGGATCGCTAAAAAATAAAACTTTTACATTACTGTGTAGTTTACCAATAAAGTGGTCTGCCGGTGAAGTGGACATACTTGTATTCATATCCCTAAAAAAATAAAGGAACTTACTACAACACATTTCAACAGAAAGTTAGCAAAAATAGATAAGATCTTGCTACCATGGAAAGGTAAATACCTGTCTATTGGTGGGAAAATCACCTGATTTAATTATTTAGTCATATCCCAGTTGACCTATTTACTTATGGCCTTGCCTACGCAGATTGTCTTTTAAATTATTTGAGCAAAACCATTTTTCACTTTATTTGTAATGGCAAGCCAGACAAAATAAAATGTGCTTATTTATATAATTAGTATGAGTTCGGCGAGCTAAAATGATTAAATATTAAAGCATTAAACCTCTCACTAAAAGCATCAGTCATACAAAAGTTATACTTAAACCTGAACTGGTTCTCCAGTAGGTTAGTAAGAATGGCTCACCCCTTGTTCAAAAATGGCCTTTTTCCCTTTATCCAGATTACAACCTCTCACTTTCAGTTAATTGAAAATGGAACCTTTTTCAAAATATCGCCCTTTCTTAAACAAGCCATACAAAGCTGGTTGCAATTCCAGTTTAATCCTCTTGAAAATACAGAAATATTACAACAAATAATATGGTTAAATTAAAATATACAAATTGATAAAAAGCCATTCTTTATGGAATAAAAATAAATATATATATATATATATATATATATATATATATATATATATATATATATATGTTAATGATTTTATGAATAGGAAAGGTGGAGGTATGTCACATGTGCAGTTAACAAACATATATGGAAACGTTTGCTCTATCCAAAATTACAACCAACTGATTGCAGCATTGGAGGAGGCAAGTCAAAGGGGGAGTGGGGAACTTGTTTGTTTGTCCTTTATTAAAGACCAAAATTGGCACACAACAAATTGTAATAAATAACAAAATATATCAGTTTTACTTGAGGACCAAAATGTTGACCGCGGCGCCATACAGGTTGCAAAATAGTTGGGAAGAGATTTGATGTGGCACATGGTTTATGAACTGATACACAAAACACTGCTTGATTCAAAACGTACAAGTTTTTCAATTTAAATGATTATACACAATTCTTGCCACAAACCGAATGTTATGTATATGGGGCATACAACTAATCTCAGCTCTGTAGATTTCGCTACAAAGGGACAATCATTAGATCTCTTATTTTGGTATTGTCCATATTTAGCTTGTTTCTGGTCACAAGTTCAGGAATGGCTGAAAAATCACAACATTTATCTCAAATTAACCAACTAGCACTGTTGGGAGATTTGGAAAACCATATTCAATGAATCAACAATATAACAACAATATAATACTTTTAGTGAAAAATATTTATCTTTACCTTACAATCTGTAGATACTACGCAGATTGCAAACACGTCTTTTTTTTAAGAACCATCTCCCATTGATCTTCTCTGCTCTGCTGTAACCTCAGCAGCTGTGTTCCCCAGGTCACGTGCGCCAAAGAAGCATGTTATTCTGTGTCTGTGTTCAATACCATGGGAAGATATTTTATAATAAAAAAATATACAACAACATACAGACTGACACAAACATCAACTATATCACCCCTGCCCAGATCCACCTGCTCACACCACCATCTCCAGCGCCCGCATCAATCTCCACCACATGACCTCAAACTGCACCATTCTGTCAACATTTACATTTTATATTACATTACATCTTATCCAGAGCGACTTACAGTAGTGAGTGCATACATTTTCATTGGTACTGAAAATGTATGCCCACTCACTTTCAACATTTAGATAAAGCATTTTACCTTTCCATTGTGTTACTGATGGAGGATTGGTGGATTTTCAGTTAAGTATACTTTTTTCAAGATGATTGACGAGCAAAGTATCATCCAACCTATCGGGTAACTCACTGCATGCACCCTTATATGCCATGTCTTTAAATATGCAGACAGACTGATTAAAAGTACAATTGACATTGTAATACTTCTGGACAGCCAACTTTCTAACTCCGCCCATAACTTTTTGACTTTCTAGCATTCCCAGATGGCATGGATTATTGAGTCATTATTAATTTTACACTTAAAACATGACTCTGTGGTTGTGCTGTAGAATTTGTTGATTTTGTCTTGTGTAAGAAATTCTATACTTTAGTTTATACTGGATTAAGCGTACATTTTTGTTAACTAATTTTGTTAGTTATGTTCCAACATTCTCTCCATATTGTGCCAATATCAGTTATTCTGAAATATTGGTTCCAATAGTTTATATCTGACCTTCTCCTCCAATGGGTTTTGAGAAGGAGAAGAGGAGAGAGGACGTGAGGAGCATGCAATTGAGATCTTCAACAATGCTTCCTCTGAGCCTCCCACCAGCACTTTTCACCCTGAAGCAAAACCTACATACAACTAGAGCAAGAAGCTGACCTGTCACTCTGGAGACAACAGTTGACCTCAGGTGTCAGGAAAGGTTAGTTATGTCAACGTGTGAGGCTACGCTGTCATTGACCCCCTCTCTGCTACATTCACGGAACAGTGTGCTTACAGCTGGCAGTGTGAGCAAATATCTCTATGACACCTCTCTGGGTTGTTAATCTTCATGATTAATGTGACTGGCACACTATTCATAAATGATGCATCGTCATCTACAAGCAGAGTGTGTTTTTATTGGTGTTGGTGCTAATGATTAGGCTACTTGGTGTGGCCAAGTAAATGTGCCTACAGTTGTGCTTTTCTTTCTCCATCAGTTACAGGCACACAAAACAGACACATACGTACAAACACACACACTGCTGCCAAAGTAGACCATTTGTTCCCTAAACACCTTCAAAATTATATAAAGATGATAAAACAATATGTTTAAAGTTGGCTTCTGTTTCTAATAGAACAGCTGTCGGGGTTGACTGACTGTATGAAAAAAATAAAAAATAATGTATGCACTCACACTGGATAAGAGCGTCTGCTAAATGACTAAAATGTAAATGTTTTGGTATGCACACTTTGTTTATTAGTTTACAGTGCAATTATCATCTTGGCCTTATGCTTACAGTCAAGGCACCAAGTAAAACAGCCTAGATGGAACATAAGCTACTACTATCATCCCAGGCATATTGTGAGGCTTTACGCACGTCCGTAGACAATCTGATGTTGTGACATAACTCTTCAAATGAATCACGCGCTGTTAAAAACAGCAACCTTCTCAGTGCCGTCTAGCCACCTTGTATCTCAGCACTGCAGCACCGACGCCATCTTGCTTGTGTCAAGCTTCACCCTTTTCTATTCTCCTCACCACATAACCCACCAGCATCCGCTGGCTGGTTATGTGGCAAATGCAACATTGTATCATGTTAATGTCTGGTCAATAATTATCCATATGCAGAGCAGTTACATATTTCCCTGTATCAGAGAAGCAACAATGTATCCTCACTCTCAAAAGGAGTAGGCTAACACAAACTCCTGTATAGACAAAATTAAACCCTGCTATGTGAATCTAACATACAGAGATTCGAAAATGGGTCACAGTATTTGTAGTAACACAGTGAGCAAAATTACGTAGAAAAAACGTTGAAATCCAGATGTTGAAATCGAATCTAACATACAGAGATTATAAATGGGTAACAGCATTTGTAGTAACCCAGTGAGCAAAATGACATTGAGACACGTTGAAATCCAGATGTTAAAATCAAATCTAACATACAGGTCCTCTGTAGCTCAATTGGAAGAGCATGGCGCTTGTAACGCCAGGGTAATGGGTTCGATCCCCGGGACCACCCATACGTAAAAATGTATGCACACATGACTGTAAGTCGCTTTGGATAAAAGCGTCTGCTAAATGGCATATTTTTTATATTATAAATGGGTTGATTTTCGGTTCTGAACCAAAGATGAAAAGACGTTGTTTCCGGACATTGAAAATACTCTACTGTCCTGAACTATTACTCTACTGTACTGTCCAAACTTGTGAAACAAAGACATCTATGATTGTCAGAAACAATTATAACCAATCTGAACCAATCATAGATGTCTATGTTTGAGCCAAATCGAGGCAGGTCTGGATCGGACGTCTGTGGACGTTGAAATCAAGGCCAGGGCGGACAGACCACATTTTAAAGACTTTTCAACATCCATGGACGTCAGGTGTCGGACGTGCTCACTGGGCCCTAGGCTAGTTAAGGCTAAAGTGTAAAATGCCCAAAGGCTGTAGCCTGTAGGTCCTTAATTTTATGTTGATAAGCAGATAGTCTATCAGTGCAATAGAATGGCATTTTCGTGGTTCATTGCGACTTTAATGGTAGGTTGATTTTAGGCACCGATTTTTTTGGGGGGTATTGATATCCCCATTGATAACCCATGGGTTGCAGCATTGCTTGCAGTTGGACCGGTCAACCACTTTAAAACGATAATATTGACTGTTTTATGGCCCTTTGTTCTTAGGCCTAATTATGTTGTTTATCAGGTCTAAACGGGTGTCTAGCCTAATCTGTTTAATATTCCAGAAAATGCTCACACACCCTTGTAAAAGACAAGATCCGGGGTGTATTCATTAGTCAGATTCTGTTGCAAAAAGTTTAGTCTGTTGCTAAACGTTTTGCAAAGGAAACTGTTTACTCCAAAAGGAAAACGTTTTGCAACGGAAGCTATACTTTCTATTGGACAAATTGAGGTATGTCCCTCCCCGTTTTTTTTTTTTTTTTTGCTCTGTTTGCTTCCATTTGGTTCCTAGCGTAAAAGGTAAATGGTTTCCGTTGCAAAATGTTTTGTAACAGATTAAACGTTTTGCAACGGAATCCAACTACTGAATACACCCCAGCATACGCTCACCACCAATGAAACAACGCAATTTCACAATATAGCAAGGCCCTACAATTCTCGCATATTTGATAGGCTAAATGAGTGGTCTGTCAATAGAGAAACGGACCAATACATTATTTTGTCATTCCAGGCCACTGTAATCTAGTGCCAAACTGTCAATCCAGTGTAATGGACAGCTACACCGGTAGGGCAATTATAGGCCTAAAAATAAATAGTCAGTGTTTTTGCTTTACGCATTAGGATATTCCACTCCATAGCTAGTTAAAATATGAGAGAGATTAAAACCAGCTGTTCTCGACACTACTACGCAGGCTGCAATTAGCAGAAAGATGGAGTGGTTGGAACAAGATGAGAAATGTAGCCTAGTAATCGCATTAAAACCTATGGTGTTTAACGTATAGTGTCTTAAAAACATTGTAGAATTTTGTAATTTAGACAAATTTTTCTGCATCCAAATGCAATCTTGATTCACCGTGGGTCTGAATTCCGTTATTTTCACTCCTACTGCCTTCAGTTCACCCGTGTCCTCCGCTGCTACAGGGACGGGAAATAGCTTATGGAGTTTCGTGGTTAGCCCGATACACGAAGAACGCACCAGTTTTCTCCACTTTTCTTACCTCAGATGCCAGCGTCAAGGTCGCTACCCATAACAGCAGAAATGTCGTTCGCTCGCCCATGCCGTTGACCCTAAATCAGTTCCGTCCAATATCTAGAAAATAGTCCGATAAATCCGATGCTCTGTCCCGTTCCCGTGCACTCCCGGTTGCTGATGGCGTGTGTTCGGATGATGGAAAGCGAGAACGAGGTTGGCCAGCTGCCCCAAAGCCTGTCACCTGACCCGGCCAATAGTGTGTGATTGCGGCCCGAGAGAATAGGCTAGCCTATGGGAAGAAACTAGAGGGAGGGAGAATGACAGCCAGCTCCTATTGTGGAGTATAGGCCTATAGGTGAGGAGATGTATAATACACGTAGTCATACACTTTAGAGAAATATCTCTCTTTCCCCCCCTGTGTCCCCTACAAACATGAAGGTTTTCTCATGTCTAATCTGCTCTCATTAATTATTTCATTCTTTGTTTATGAAATGTCCGTATAGGCTAGTTCTGATGATACACACAAACACACACAGACATACCACTAAAACCTAATCCCAAAATGCTTAAAGACCCAATGCAGCAGTTTTTATCGCAATATCAAATCATTTCTGGGTAACAATTAACATTAAGTACCTTACTGTTATTTTTTTTCAATTAAAATGGTAAAAAAAACAGAAATACAGAAAAGTATGTGGACACCCCTACAAATTAGTGGATTCGGCTATTTCAGCCACACCCGTTGCTGACCGGTGTATAAAATTGCGCAAACAACCATGCAATCTCCATAGACAAACATTGGCAGTAGAATGGCCTTACTGAAGAGCTCAGGGACTTTCAACGTGACACCGTCATAGGATGACACCTTTCCAACAAGTCAGTTCGTCAAATTACTGCCCTGCTAGAGCTGCCCCGGTCAACTGTAAGTGCTGTTATTGTTAAGTGGAGTCTAGCAGCAACAATGGCTCAGACACAAAGTGGTAGGCCACACAAGCTCACAGAACGGGACCACCGAGTGCTGAAATGCTTAGCACATAAAAATCGTCTGTCCTCGGTTGCAACACTCACTACCGAGTTCCAAACTGCTTCTGGAAGCAACGTCAGAACAAAAACTGTTCGTCGTGAGCTTCATGAAATGGGTTTCCATGGCCAAGCAGGCGCACACAAGCCTAAGATCACCAAGCACAATGCCAAGCGTCAGCTGGAGTGGTGTAATGCTCGCCACCATTGGACTCTGGAGCAGTGGAAACGTGTTCTCTGGAGTGATGAATCACACTTCATCATCTGGCAGTGCGATGGACAAATCTGGGTTTGGCGGAAGCAGGAGAACGCTACTTGCCCCAATGCTTAGTGCCAACTGTAAAGTTTGGTGGAGGAGGAATAATGGTCTGGGGCTGTTTTTCATGGTTCGGGCTCCTTAGTTCCAGTGAAGGGAAATCTTAATGCTACAGCATACAATGACATTCTAGACGATTCTGTGCTTCCAACTTTTTGGCAACAGTTTGAGGAAGGCCCTTTCCTGTTTCAGCATGACAATGCCCCCATGCACAAAGCAAGGTCCATACAGAAATGGTTTGTCGAGATCGGTATGGAATAACTTGACTGGCCTGCACAGAGCCCTGACCTCAACCCGATCAAACACCTTTGGGATGAATTGGAACACCGACTGCGAGCCAGTCCTAATCGCCCAACATCAGCGCCCGACCTCACTAATGCTCTTGTGGCTGAATGGAAGCAAGTCACCACAGCAATGTTCCAACATCTAGTGGAAAGCCTTCCCAGATGGCAGCAAAGGGGGTACCAACTCCATATTAATGCCCATGATTTTGGAATGAGATGTTCAACGAGCAGGTGTCCAAATACTTTTGGTCATGTAGTGTAGCTTCTTAGCAAAGAGCAATTTCTCAAGCAAGAACTTTGCTAGGACTGTCTGGAAGTGGTCTGAGTGAGGGGCCTAATTGGATGAGCTTAATGGGAGGGATATATAATGTGAAAACTAGCTGTAAACAAACATTTAAAAAAAAGAAGTAACAATAAAATAACAATAACGAGGCAATATACAGGGGGTACCGGTACCGAGTCAATGTGCGGGGGTACAGGTTTGACGAGGTAATTGAAGTAATATGTACATGTAGGTAGGGGTAAAGTGACTATGCATAGATAATAAACAGCGAGTAGTAGCAGCGTAAAATAAAAA